CTCCCCTCTCTCCTCTTCCTCCCCTGACACCTCTTCCTCCCCCTCTCTCCTCTTCCTCTCTCCTCTTCATCCCAGGCACCTCTTCCTCCTCTCCTCTTCCTCTCCTCACCTCTTCATCCCCAGGCACCTCTTCTCCCCTCTCTCCCTCTTCCTCCCCAACACCTCTTCCTCCCTCTCTCCCTCTTCTTCTCCCTCACCCCTACTCCCATAGACACCTCTTCCTCCCCTCTCTCCTCTTCCCTACCCCCCTCTCCTCTTCCTCTCCCCACCTCTTCATCCCAGGCACCTCTTCCTCCCCTCTCTCTTCCTCCCCGACACCTCTTCCTCCTCTCTCTCCTCTTCCTCCCCTCTCCTCTTCCTCTCCTCACCCTCTTCATCCCCAACACCCTCTTCCTCCCCTCTCTCCTCTTCCTCCCGCGTACCTCTTCCTCCCCTCCTCTCCTCTTCCTCCCCCTCTCTCCCTCTTCCTCCCCTGACACCTCTTCCTCCCCTCTCTGCTCTTCTTCTCTCCCACCCCTCCTCCTCCCGACTACCTCTTCCTCCCCTCTCTCCTCTTCCTCCCCTTAGCACCTCTTCCTCCCCTCCTCCTCTTCTTCTCCTCCCCACCCCCTCCTCCCCTACACCTCTTCCTCCCCCTCTTTCCCCGTCCTCCCTGACCTCTTCCTCTCCTCACCTCTTCCTCCCTGGCACCTCTTCTCCTCCCTCTCCTCTTCTCCCCTGACACCTCTTCCTCCCCTCTCTCCTCCTTCCTCCCCTGACACCTCTTCCTCCCCTGACACCTCTTCCCTCCCTCTCTCCCTCTTTCCTCTCCTCCCTCAGCACCTCTTCCTCCCTCTCCTCTTCCTCCCTGGCACCTCTTCCTCCCCTCTTCCTCCTCTTCTTCCTCCCTGGCACCTCTTCTCCTCCCCTCTCCTCTTCCTCCCTGACACCTCTTCCTCCCCTCTCTCCTCTTCCTCCCTGACACCTCTTCTCCCCTGACACCTCTTCCTCCTGACACCTCTTCCCTCCCTCTCCTCTTCCTCCCCTGGCACTCTCTTCCTCCCTCTCCCTCTTTCCTCCCTGACACCTCTTCCTCTCCTCTTCCTCCCTGACACCTCTTCTCCCTGACACCTCTTCTCCTCCCCTGCACTCTTCTCCCTCCCCTAGACCTCTTCCTCCCCACAGGCACCTTCTCCCTGGCCCCTTTTCCTCCCCTAGCACCTCTTCCTCCCTGTGTACCTCTTTCCTCCCCAGGCACCTTTTTCCTCCCTGGCACCACTTCCTCCCCTGGCACCTCTTCCTCCCCAGGCACCTTTTCCTCTCCCTAGCACCTCCTCTTCCTCCCCTGGCACCTCTTCCTCCTCTGGCACCTCTTCCTCCCTCTCTCCTCTTCCTCCCTGACACCTCTTTTCCCCTCCTCCCTGGCACCTCTTCCTCCCCTAGTAACCTCTTCCTCCCACAGGCACCTCTTCCTCCCTAGGCACCTTTTTCCTCCCTGGCACCTCTTCCTCCCTGGCACCTCTTCCTCCTCTAACCTTCTCCCTCTCCTCTTCCTCCCCTCTGACACCTCTTCCTCCCTGACACCTCTTCCTCCCTCTCCTCTTTCCTCCCTCCTCTTCCTCCCTAGCACCTCTCCTCCCTCCTCTTCCTCCCTGGCACTTCTTCTCCTCTCTCTCTCTCTCTCTCCTCTTCTCCTCTCCCCCTGACACCTCCTCTCTCCTCCCTCTCCCTCTTCCTCCCTGACACCTCTTCCTCCCTGACACCTCCTCCTCCCCTCTCCTTCCTGGCAATCTCTTCCTCCCTCTCCTCTCCTCCTCTGGCATCTCTTCCTCCCTCTCTCCTCTTCCTCCCCTGACACCTCTTCCTCCCCTGACACCTCTTCCTCGCCTGGCACCTCTTTCCTCCCTGGCACCTCTTCCTCCCACAGGCACCTCTTCCTCCCACACACCTCTTCCTCCTGCCCCTTTTCTCCCTCTCTCCTCCCAGGCACCTTTTTCCTCCCTGGCACCACTTCCTCCCCTGGCACCTTCTTCCTCCCCAGGCACCTTTTCTCCCACACCTCTTCCCTCCCTGGCACCTCTTCCTCCCCTGGCACCTTTTCCTCCCTCTCACCTCTTCCTCCCCTGACACCTCTTTCCTCCCCTCTCCTCTCCCTGACACCTCTTCACCCCTCTCCCTCTTCCTCCCCTGACACCTCTTTCTCCCTCTCCTGGCACTCCTTTCCTCCCCTGGCACTCTTTCCTCCCAGGCACCTTTTCCTCCCTGCACCTTTTCCTCCTAGCACCTTTTCCTTCCCCACCTCTTCCTCCCCTGGCACCTCTTCCTCCCCAGGCACTTTTTTTCCTCCCTGGCAATCTTCCCTAGCACCTTTTCCTCCCCAGGCACCTTTTTCCTCCCCAGGCACCTCTTTCCTCCCTGGCACTCTTCCTCCTCTCTGGCACCTCTTCCTCCTCTCTCCTCTTTCCTCCTGACACCTTTTCCCTCCCCTGACACCTTTTTCCTCCCCTCTCTCCTCTTCCTCCCTGGCACCTCTTCCTTCCCAGGCACCTTTTTCCTCCCTGGCACCACTTCCTCCCTAGCACCTTTTCCCTCCCCAGGCACCTTTTCCTCCCCAGGCACTCTTCCTCCCCTGGCACCACTTCTCCCTGGCACTCTCCTGGCACCTCTTCCTCCCTGGCACCTCTTCCTCCTCTGGCACCTCTTCCTCCCTCTCTCTCCTTCTTCCTCCCCTGACACTCCTTCCTCTCTCCTTCTCCTCCCTGGCACCTTCCTCCTCCCAGGCACCTTTTCTCCCCTGGCACCTCTTCCTCCCTGGCACCTCTTCCTCCCCTGGCACCTCTTTCCTCCCCTCTCCTTCCTCCCTGACACCTCTTCCTCCCCTCCTCTTCCTCCCCTGGCACCTCTTCCTCCCCCTAACCCTCTTCTCCCCTGGCACCTCTTCTTCCCCTAACCTCTTCCTCCCCCCTCACAAGGAAGGAACTCCATTAATTTTCGTATAGACCAAAAATCCAATTAATTTTCTATCTAAGGAAAGGATTACCTGAGGAGGTCCTGTAGGATTCTTTTACTACGACTATGAGGGAGAGTCCCAGCTTATAGGATATCGGACCTGTTGGATATCTGATGTACGACTGGGTTCTGTAGGCTATCACACGTAAATCATTTATAGGGTCCATAGGATCCCAGAACTACCTCCTTAGGTCCTACAGGATATCAGAACTCCTTTTGGGTGTCTAAAGGATACCAGAACTCCATTTGTAGGTTTTAAAGAATACCAAACCTCCATAGTTAGATCCTATGGGATACGAATTCCTACTATCAGGTCTTATAGGATACTTGATCTCGGATTAAAGGAGCGAGGGATGGGGCCGCTGTGTCCTCCTCCTCAAAGACAGTCTGTCTTTTGATGTGGGCTGTAATATTTTTCTTTCTCGAGGATTAAGTCTGCAATGTAGCCCTCCAGGGGGAGTCTAGTAGAATCCTTCCCTCCATCCTTTTTTATCCTTCACTCTCCCTACTGTTCCTCCTTCCCTCCATCCTATTTTATCCTTCACTCTCCCTACTGTTCCTCCTTCGCTTTATCTTTCCTTCCCTCCATCCTATTTTATCCTTCACTCTCCCTACTGTTCCTCCTTCGCTTTATCTTTCCTTCCCTCCATCCTATTTTATCCTTCACTCTCCCTACTGTTCCTCCTTCCCTTTATCTTTCCTTCCCTCCACCCTTTTTTATCCTTCACTCTCCCTACTGTTCCTCCTTCCCTTTATCTTTCCTTCCCTCCACCCTTTTTTATCCTTCACTCTCCCTACTGTTCCTCCTTTCTTTTATCCTTCCCTCACTTCCTCACACCTTCCCTCCGCCTCTCTCTCTCTCTCCCCTTCTACTCCGTTTATCCTTTCTTCTTTCTCCTTCCTTTTATCTCTCTATGTCCCTCCCTCTTCTTCCTCCTTCCTATTGTCCTCTTCTCTCCTTTTTCTTCCTTCATTTCCACTCCATTCATCCCTCTCCCTATCTATCTCCCTCTTCATTTAACCCCTATTCCTTCCTCCCTCCCTCCCTCCCTCCAGAGAAAAAAAGAAATTAACATAAAACATAAAAAAGAAAGTTATGTCAGTGAAAGTTTATTTAGTCACCCAATTGAGGAAAGTTGTTGAGAGAGAGAGAGAGAGAGAGAGAGAGAGAGAGAGAGAGAGAGAGAGATAAGATAATAGAAAGAGTGAAAGTAAAACGTAAGAGAAGCGACCGAATATTAAAGGAAAAATAGAAAAATGTAAGAGAAAGGGGGAGAAAAAACGCGAGGAAAATTAGAAAGTGATAGAAGTAAGATAGAAAGCAAGATAGAGCAAAATAGAAAGTACAAAAGAAAGCAAGAGTAGCAAGATAGAGTAAAACAATATATTAAACGAAACAATATAGAAAGTAAAATAGAAAGTACAATGAAGGAAAACAAAATAAAAGATAAAGCAAGAGAAATTAAAGGAAAAAAAATAAATATTAAGCAAAATAGAAAATCTAATAAATTAGGAAAATGCAAAAATCAATGAACAGTAAAATAAAAGAGAATTAAATAAAACAAAATCAAACAAAACGAAAACAACAAATACTAGAAGAAAGTGAGAATAAATAAGTAAAAATAGAGATAAAAAAGATAAGATCAAACAAAAGAAAATCAAACAAGTAATAGATGTAAAAAAGAAGAAAGGTCAAAATAGAAAGTAAAGCGAAAAAATCAAAATAAAGTAAAAAAAAAAAATAGAAAGTGAAAATTAAGTAAAAAAAAAGTAAAAATAAAACAGAAAGTAAAAATAACAAATAAAAATAGCAGTAAAAACAGTAAAAATAGAAAGCAAAAAAGAAAAAATAGAAAGCATAACGAAAAAACAAAAATTAAAAAGTTTAACAAAAAAATATAAATAAAGTAAAAAAGAAAAGTCAAAATAGAAAGTAAAAAAAAATAGAAAGTAAAAAAAAAATACAAATAGAAAGAAAAAAAATAAAACCAAAGAAAGTTAGCCCCACTTAC